ACCTGTGATTTCCCCAAAGCATCATCATTAAAGGCTTGCCGAAGCATCCCAACAGTCTCGGCTGCAGTTTTCCCTAACAGAAAGCAAAATTTCATGCACACTCTTTGTTCCTTCTGGTCGGCCATCTCACTAATCGCCAAAGGGTTGAAACAGGAACGCACACAACAGAGCACCACAGACAAACCACTTAACTCAGACTGATGCCAGCTCACTAACAGGCGCGGGAGACCCCCAGCTAACACCACCTAGCAGCACAACTCGTAACTACAAAGCATGCGCGCGCAACAGGTCGGTTCCGGTTATTTTTGGGTCCCCCTTCGTATAGAGATACTGTGTAAACTGTGTTCAGAACAAGTCTTCTAGATGAAAGCACATAGGAACCCAGCATTTTACCACCAGCTGCTCATTTCCTGACTAAAATGTTCTGTGTATTTCATTCCTCATGTGTGCTATATGTCCTTTCTGGCTTTAATAACCTAAATCAGGGATGCCTAACATCAATCTACTAAAAGCCTGCTTTGTGCCCTACATAACCTATGTCCTGCATTATTAAAATAAATGTTTTCCCGATATATCAGTACAAATATCTGCCCTACAGTGATCAGATCTATGAAGTACAGATAAGGAATTGAACCCATACATTTCAAAAACATTTATTGAATTAAAATCAGCTGCTGAGGGTCTGATAAATTTTTATTATTCCATATGATACTAATAATACTGCTCATGCAAATTCCAGGACTTTCTTAGTTATTTATTAGGTGTCATATGAAATCAATTGAAGAATTACACAGCATATTATCAAACGTAAATATATTTCATAAAGATTTTTTACCAAGATTGGCTGCCTTTTTTAATGAAGAGGAAAACATTAATATTAGGAACAGTAAGTAAATAGGGCACAAGTGGATATAAAAGATAGAACATGTGATATTTGAACCTGGAAAAAAACATTTATTTCTCGACATGTCCTCCAACATTTATACACTTGTCCTATCACTTTACCAGCGCGTCGAAACCTGCAGCGTAGAAGTCTTCTGACTTGTCTCAGCTACTTGTCCACCTCCGTTTCAACCTCTTCATCATCAGTGAAATATTTGCCACTACGGCGTTTTTTTAGCAGACAAAACAAATGGAAGTAACTAGGGGCCAATTCTGGGCTCTAAGGCAGATGTTCAAGAAGTTCCCACTTTAGTTCTTGAATTCTCTCCTGGGTTGCTGGAGCTCTACGGGTCTGGCATTGTGATGATGAAGCAGTACCCCTCTTGCCAGTTGGCCTGGAGGTTTTCTGCAAATTACATCCTGTAGCATCAACAGAACTTCATAGTACAAAGCAGAATTCACATTTTCACCACACTTCTGAAAATGGGCTAACAGTACTCTCTGAGAGTCCCAGAAGATGGCAAGAATAACCTTCCCAGCTGATGGCATAATCTTAGGCTTTTTGGTTGAAAGAAAACTGGGCTGTTTCCATTGCATTGAAGCATGTTTTGATTTAGGTTGATAGTGCTGAACCCATGATTGATCTCCAGTAATAATCCTGTTAAGCATATCTTCTCCTTCATCTGCTTACTGTAAGAGATGTTGGAAGGACAGACCCATTAGTTTAATTTTGTCTCCATCCATCAGTTCTCTGGGCACCCACCATATGCACACTTTCTGAAACTTCATTGAAACTTCATACAAATGATCTTGCATTATGCTGTATGCTAAACCATTGGAACATCCTAGTGCAGTTGCTACACTGTCTATCGTTATCCTGCTGTAAGCTCGAATCTGCTCTTCCACCCAATGCACAGTTGATTTGTTACAGTCTCAACAGGGCGACCTGGTTGGGCATCATCTGCGACTTTCTAACGTCCTTGAAAGAAATTTCTCGATCTGGTTGTGAACCGCTTTATGCGACAAACACTTCTCACTGAATACAGGAAACACATAAATATTCTCTGCATTGCAACCTTTTGCCCACAAAATACACATAACAGAACGTTGCTCTTCGCCATTTTGACTATTGAAAGTAACCTCTTAGCATGCACATGCATGTCTGCTCCCGAGACCATCACAGAGCTGGACTGTGCTGCTGCCTAGTGATATACATAGAAAACCTGTCCATTACAGTTGTTTTACTTCCATTTGTGCCCTATTTAGTGACTCTCCCTCATATTTTGGGGAGTTGTAGGACACTCTTATGGGGAGCACAGAACCAATTGGTAAGCTGCATATGGCATGCATTTTGCCATCTGGGTGTCCCTGAACTTAATATCAGGTAAAGTATGCAATTTTTAGGTCTCTGTTGTGTAATTTTCTGCACCCCCAGTCTGAGATCTCCCTTATAGTGAGAGACCCACACCCAAAATAACATTTTTATTTATTTTATGTCTAGATTTATTAATGATAGCAATTATTGTTGCAGTTCATGTTTGCAGTCTTGGTTGGAGCAAGACACATCATGTCCTACTTGTAGAATGGTTCTGAGTATTCAGAGTCCGGCAGGTTTGGGAGCAGCAAATCATCTGGATCACAATCTTCTGGCTGGAGAGAACCAAGTGGACAACCAAACTACAAATCGCAGACCACCTAATCATTTCTTCCATTTTGATGGTAATTCCCCACGACTGACAGTCATATATTTACTTGAAGAAAGCAGTCTTCTGGGATGTGGCACCATGTAGATGTGGTGTTAACCGACGTTTCGGAGGAACGTATCGCCTCCATCTTCAGGGTAGAAGGAAAAATAAAATCTGCAAGCAAAGAGACTGTGAGAACCGGTACAAGCAGACTGGTGTTGGAAATAAACTCAGTTATGTGAGAGCAGTGAAGGAAGGGGGGGGAGTCTGCGTGGGAAATCAGTGGAGTGGGAGGGGTGAAGGGGCTTGGTCAGAAGCAGGGTTTGTATATGATATTGTGTTGGGGCGGGGGGGAGAAAGGCAAGGTTAAAGTGAGGGCACTAACCCTTAAGCTGGGGGGTNAGCTGTGTATATTTCCAACACCAGTCTGCTTTTACCGGTTCTCACGGTCTCTTTGGTTGCGGATTTCTTATATTTTTCCTTCTACCCTGAAGATGGAGGTGATATGTTCCCCGAAACGTCTTTTAACACCACATCTACATGGTGCCAAATACCAGAAAACTGCTTTCTTCATAGTCACTGCCGTGAAAACCTCAAATCTTTTATATTTACTTATTTATATTTAGAAATAGTGTTTTTTAATTATTTTTGCATACTTTGTGCATCTTGAGTATCATTTGTTTGTTGTTTCTATAATGTAGAAATAACTTCTTGAAATTACCGTGATGCAGCCAGTATGGCATATAATGAGGATTTCACTATATCAACAAAGCCATTACAGTCATCCATTTCTTAACATTACGAAAATTGAAAATTGTTGCATAAAACAAGGGCTTCTTTTTCCTGCACCTTCTTCATAAGTACTTTCCATTGTTTTCCTAACATTTGCACCAACTGTACTTGCAGTTTTGCTTCTAAAGTTATCTAAAGTTTATCTCCTGTTAACCCATCCTCTCTTTCCTCCCCTTGTCTAGGAGAAAGTTCTCATTCCAGAATCACAGGGCAGCTTTTTCCCCACAAAGCTATAACCACTGAGAAATGTACATCACCATGATATCCTCTGAATTTCTGCTTCAATCCGGTAGCTTGTTTCATTGTTTTTTATGTGCTTGGCTTATTTACTGAGGCACTGTGCAGTCTATTCCCTTATCTGTCAGACAGGTTTCATTTTCACCTGAGCTTCCATTGCCATTGGACAAAGACATCACAGAATTCCACTGTGTAGCATACATATAATTAAGGTTTTGTCCCCCATCAAATGGGGCATATTTTAGCATAGTTGGTTGAGGCACTGTGCTTCAAGCTGGAAGGTCGTGGGTTCAATTCCTGATGAGGTCACTGCATTTTTCAATTCACCTAATCCTTCCAGCCACACTATGGCCCTGGGGTCAGCTCAGCCTCTAACGGAAATGACTACCAATAATATTCCTGGGGATAAAAGGCATCCAGTGCTTAAGGCTAACCTCACCACCACCACCACCTCCTCCACCACCACCACCTCAAAGAGGATGTGTCTGGAGAATGGGCAGCACAATTATCTACAAAGAGGAGGATTTTCTTGCCTAGTGCGCCAAATGATGCATCAAGAGCATGCAGAAAGTCTCTGAAAATCTCCAATGTCATCCATGCATTTGAGCTGGCATGGTAGGTCACAGGTAGCTTCTTTACATTTTTTAAACACCGTGGTTTCATGGACCTTCCAATAATGATGGGTGTTTGTTTGTCTGAGCCATCACTCTTTGTGCACAGTAGCACCGTAAGTTGCTCCTTCACAGCTTTTCCTCCATGGCAGGTCTCTCATTTCAATGTCAGCGTTTGGTCTGGCAGGCAGTTGAAAAATAGGCCTGTTTCATCTACATTATAGATGTTACGTGGCTTTGGTGTCCACAGCAGCACTCTCCCCAGCCATTTTCTTAAATACCAGGAACTGGCGTTCCTTGAAGTGGGAGATGCAACCACTTGAAGCTGAAATGTTCTCAATCCACATTTTTGCAACTATTTTTAAGATTTCTCCTGTAGGATGGCCCCATTCATAGGTATGCCTGATGCTTGGGCCTGCTGGTACCAGGCAAAGAGGACATTTTCCAGCTTGCTGTAAGTCATCTCCTTGCCCATCTTCCTCTTCTTGGCTGATGTACCACACTTATCAGCCTGCTCTCAGATCTCCCTTTTCTTCCCAATAATTGAATTTAGGGTTGTTGATGGCAGGCCTAGTCACTTGACTACATCAGTCCTCTTCTGTAATGGATTTTTCTCCACCTCTTCTGTGATGTGCAGTCATTCTTCTAAAGCCCGAACTTGTTTCACAGGAAACGCTATGTGGGAGAAATTTGTTTTAAAGATAACAGTGATGCTAACACTAACATGAAGCACTGTAGAGGCTCAAACACATGTGATTAACTGTGTACTCAGCTAGTCAAAAGGGCGAATTGAAATGATTCACACTAACATACAGCAAAGATTTTCCAGCTGGACCAGGCTCTCGCTAGCCCCCCTTCCCATCCAGCTCATTGTGTGGTAGGTAAGACACTCTCAAGGTCGCATAGCTAGTAGTACAGAGCCAAAACTGTAACTTGCTACATCATGTTCCAGAAACATCAGCTACTGTTACTACTACTGATGCGTACTAACATTTGTTTGTGTGGTATTGCTCTTTCTTAAAAATGATCAATCCAGGATTAACGTTTTTCAGCACCAAAAATTCTGACCAATGGATGTGGGAAAATGATAAATCAAAGAACCATTGATGCAGGTTTTGTTTCCATAGTTTAAATAGGATTTGTTCAGGGACCACAGAAATTGAATGATGGATTTGGGAAAGCGATACGTCTGGGAATGATAGCTCAAGGTTTCACTGTATATCAAACTGCTGCACAGCAGAAGTCAAGTATAATGAATGAATGAATGAATGAATGAATGAATGAATGAGGGGTAGGCCTTCTCGGCCCTTGCACCGCGAACTCAGCGGTGCATTGTGCTTCCCCTTTTTTAATTATTCCCTCAGCAACCCCGCACTTCAGATGAAGCGCAGGATTTTGGATGTGGGGGTGTCAAAATGGTCACTTGGTTCCATAAAGTATTGACCCAAGTGACGCAGTCTTAAATAAGCTAAAGCCTCACATTCACACAGGATGTGTGTGGCTGTTTCATTTTCTGTCTGACACCTCTCACAAGTGGGACTGTCACTTAGTCCCAGTTTGAACAGGTGTCCTTTGAGGTGACAGTGTCCTGTAAGTAGTCCTACCACCCATCGTAGCTGGTTCTGGTTTAGCTTCAAGAGTTCCTTTGCTCTTTTAGTGGAAGGTCCTCGTATGAGTCCCTTTGCTTGCCTGAGTCCAGTTAAGGATCCCCAGTATTTCTTATGTTTTATGTTAGTCCAGTCCCTGATTGCCTGTTTGGCAACTCCTAGAGAGATGCCACAGGCTGGTTCAGGTCCTATGAACAGATGTTCAGCTTCAGTTTTAGCTAATTGGTCTGCTGCTTCATTTCCAGCAATACCCTCATGCCCTGGCACCCATACCAGTTGTACCCTGTTATGTTTGGCCAGTTCCATGAGGGTTTGGTGGCAATCCCAGATCAATTTTGAATTGATCTGGTGTTTGTCAAGCACTTTAAGTGCAGCTTGGCTGTCAGATAGAATGTAGATGTTCCTATTTCTATAGTTCCTATCTAAATTCTCCATAATACATGCCTTAATGGCATATACTTCTGCCTGGAATACTGTCGTGTACTGCCCAAGGCTGAAACTAAGTTTCTGCCTCGTGCCATGGTAGTACACACCAGCTCCAGTGCCCTTATTTGTCTTGGAACCATCTGTATACCAGATCAGTTCCCCTTTTCTATCAGGCCGAAACCCGTCTTCCCATTCACTCCTGTCAGGAAATCTGACTGTGAAGGGTTTTTCATATACATGTCTCAGTATCATTTTGTCAGACCCCATTTGTAGTATGGCTTCTTTTTTCGTGTCCTGAGTTATGTATGCATGGCCAAAACCATCGGATCCAGGTTTCCATTGTCCACTGCACTGGAGACAGTAAATTCCTGCCCTGGCCTCTTGCATCCAACTGTACATGCAGTGGGGGGAGTCCAAGGAGTATCTCCAGTGCAGCTGTTGGAGATGTTCGAAATGTTCCTGTGATACCTAAGCAAGCCAGCCTTTGCAATATGCTAAGTTCTGTCTTGCTTGTCTTGAGTTTAACTCTGGTCCACCAAACTGTGGCACCATAAGTAATTATGGGTCTAGCAACCGCAGTGTATATCCAATGTATAACGTGTTGCTGCAGTCCCCAAGTTTTACCAAACATGCTTCTGCATGTCCAAAACGCCTTATAGGCTTTGTTAATGACTTTGTCCAGCTGCTTTTTCCATGTCAGTCCCTTGTCTAATTCTAGACCAAGGTACTTGACATCGCGGGAGAGCTGGATTGTCTTATTGAAGAGAGTGGGTCCCTTAAGACCCTTTATATTTCTCTTCCTAGTAAACGGTATAATTACCATCTTGTTGGGGTTGATGGAAAGACCTGTTGTTTCACACCATCGTTGGACCATGTACAGAGCTGTTTGAAGATGCTCTGATACGGTCGAAAGGAATTTTCCATTTATGAGGATTGCTATGTCATCAGTATATCCTACTGTATAATACGCATCATCATTTAAGTCCACACAGGAGATTGTCGATGACCAGGCTCCACAGCAGAGGCGAAAGTACGCCCCCCTGCGGACATCCCCTAGACGTGGACACCCCCAGGGTTTCTCCCGATAATGTAGCAGCTGTGGTTCTGCTTTCCAGCATAGCATTGATCCATCTGTATATTGCAGGCTCTATGCCATGCCTTCCAGCAGCCTGTTTGATTATATCAAATGAGGTTCTATCAAAAGCTCCCTCTATATCAAGGAATGCTCCTAAGGCAATATCCTTGTGTTCAATCGCACTTTCTATGCGTGTTGCCACATTGTGTAGTGCACTTTCGGTGGATTTATCTGTTTGGTAGGCATGTTGGTTTTGGTGTAGAGGATATGTCCTCAATACCCCGTC